GAAACCTTTGACTTCAACGCACTGGCGCTATTGTTACAGATCCCAACGCAGAATACACAGGTGACACTGGGAACTGTCCCCGTCTCCACTCAGTCACAGTGCTCAGTCTATTCTCCTGATGGTAGACATTTCATTCTTCCTTTGAGTGGAGAGAAAACATAACAAAAAGACCTCAGACAGCTAGTAGTCTCTTTTCACAACAAATCTATAACATGTTGGTTCACAACAGCAGTGCTTGATTCTGTCTTCTCATTTTCTTTTGCGAGCATGAGAATCTTGCGATAAACAAAATAAGGAGACTTTTGTTCCAGTCCATATGCTAGTAAGAGTGCTACATATGTAGTTCTTCCGTGGAAGAAGTATTTTTAGGTGTGCCTCACAGATGTTTTATTAATTTTGCTTCTGTGGGTAATTGCCTTATGTAATTCTTTTTTACTCATGGACCCATTTGAAAACCAGGAAATTTTTATTATTCCACAGAACATTGAATATCTTTTGCCAATACCCCTAACCAACCCGCACAGCACACTCTTGCATATAATTTTCAAGAGATCATGGATCCATCTCCCCAAAAGTTCATGCACACACTCCACATTAAAAGCCCTGGTTTAAAGTACTGTCATGGTTCAGTACATTCATAGCAGCGAGTGAGTTTTTTAAAAGTCTTAGTTTAAAAAACAATTGTGATGTGTTAACATCCTTCAAATTAGGTTGATTAAAGTTTTGGTTGTTTTGCTATTTCNTTGTGATGTGTTAACATCCTTCAAATTAGGTTGATTAAAGTTTTGGTTGTTTTGCTATTTCAGGCTCGTACTGTCTTAGAAAGAGAATTTAACAACCTTTTGGTCATGGGGACTGACAGAAGGTTTGATGAAGTAAGTTTTCAGCCTAATGATTTTTAAATTTGTTTTAAATGTAAATTGTTTTATTATACTTAGGACAACCATCTAGCTAGGCTCTCTCTTCTAATTGTGGAGATAATTTTACTTTATGAGTTAAGCTAACAAATGAGCTATTAAGACACTAATATTTTCTGGCTGCTTAGCTCAGTTGGATAGAGCATGGTGTCGATAACACCAAGGTCCAGGGTTGATCCCTGTATGGCCAGCCACCAAAAAAAAAAAAAGAAAAAAAGAAACTATTATTTTCAATAAGGCAGTTTTGTTTTCATTTTTTCTACTTAATTTTTGACACCCCCTCAAAAATGGTTTTCACATCATAAAACATTGGTTGTAATCTAGCGGTGGAGTCTGTGTTTCAGGGACAACTGGATATCCTACCCCAACCCAGAGCCCCTATGCTTTGGGGAGCATGTTTAAGAAATATATTAAAAAACACAAAATGTTCGGGCCGGCCCGGTGGCGCACTGGAGAGTGCG